CGGCGGTTTTCCGTGCGTTGCCTCGCGATGTTTCGCGGGTCACGGATCGCCGGTGGTACCTGTGAATTTATTTTTGGTTTTTTAAAAATAATGTGGGCGCACCGCGCCCTCCTCGCTGTTGCCCCTGATAGCGGAGTGCAGCGGAATCCGACGGAAGACCGATCGGGAACGATGCCTTTGCGGGTGCATCGTTACAATGTCATTGTTATTCGAGAAGAGAGACATTAAGGGCGTCATCGATGGAACAATCGTAAAGCCGGAAGAAACGCAACTCGAGGCATATAAACTGTGGCGCAAGAAGGACAGCGATGCACGGTACTATATTACGTCAACGATCGACAAGCGTTTCACGAAGCACATTCTCCACTGCAAAACAGCTACGGAAATGTGGGAAAAGATCTGCAATATCTTCGAAAGAAAGTCAGCGGCTCAGGTAACAATGTTGCAAAGAAAACTTCATAACCTTAAACTCGGTTCTGATGAAAAGGTAAGCGACTATGTAGCAGAGGCTCGTAATTTAACAGCACAACTCGAATGTGCAGGCGATAGAGGTGTTTCAGATGACATGCTGCAAACCATAATTATCGAAGGGCTACCACCTGTAAAATACAGTGGTTTTCTGTTCGGCTGGAATAGTAAACCGAAGGCAGACAAAACGTTACTTAACCTAGAAACGGAATTGATAGCAACAGAAGAATTCATATCCAATCAGGACGAGGAAGTTACAGCAATGACAGCGGCGTCAACACATAAAGGTAAAGTACAGAAAAGATCTACAGAAAAAGCTTTCAAAAGAAAATTTGAAGGTCAATGCTTCTATTGTAAGAAAGTAGGACACAAAAAGTTGGAATGTGGATTTAAAAATGAAAGGACGAAAAATGAGACGAAGAAACCAGATACATATAGCAAGAATACAAAGACTAGAGGGACAGATAAAGAGCAAGATGAAACTGAAGACGCAGTATTACTTGCACGGACTCATGTAACCGAAGCAGGGAGTGAGCAAGTCTGGCTGGCTGACAGCGGAGCATCTTATCACTTGACCGATCATTGTTCGAGAACATGAAGAAGGCTGAAATGTCTCATATTAAATTAGGTGATAAAAGTCATGTACCAATAATTGGAAAAGGTGATGTGAGAGTCGAAGCTCTTGCTGATGGCAAATGGAAACCATGTCGCCTAACGAATGTCCTCTACGTGCCTGACCTTCGCACAAATCTATTTTCATTCTCCCAATGCATGGATCATGGCTACAAGATAGAATCCGGAAAGTCAAACATGAAAATAACCAAAAACGATAAGATTTTCGCAACTGCCACAAGAAAGAAGAGTTTATATGTCATGGAATTCAGAAGACCTGTCACCGTGGAAGCAAATACAGTAGAACATACAATGAATAAATTACAGCTATGGCATGAACGTCTAGGACACATCAGACTTACCACGATGCAAAAACTGAGTGAGGATAATCCAGCAGTTGACTTCAGCAAGGAAGACTTACAGAAGTTCAAATGCAAAGTCTGCATATTTGGAAAATTAAAGCGCAAAACGTTCAAGACTCGAGAAGAAAAACAGTATGAACCAGGGGAGATGATTCACTCGGATGTGGACCTTTTCAGACAGAATCATACAATGGTGCCAGATATTACGTTGTATTCAAGGATGATGCCAATGAGTATAGATGTATCTATCTGATTCGCAGTAAGGCTGATGTATTAGAAAAATTTATTAAGTACGCTAATATGGTACGTAATCGTTTCAAGCGAGAAGTTAAAGTATTAAAGACAGACAATGGACGAGAATATACGAGGTGTGATCAAAAAGTAAGGTGACTTTTCATTTTTATAAAAAAATATTCATTTATTCATCCAAAATTATGTTATCCCCTTCAAAATAATCCCCCTCTGATACAATGCACTTGTGCCAGCGCTTTTTCCAGTCGTCAAAACACTTCTGAAATGCACTTTTGGGTATTGCCTTGAGCTCCTCCAGCGATGCAGCCTTAATCTCCTCAATCGTCGCAAATCTTCGTCCTTTCATGGGCCTTTTCAATTTTGGGAAGAGGAAAAAGTCACAGGGGGCCAAGTCTGGTGAATACGGTGGCTGAGGCATGATGATAGTATTGTTTTTGGCCAAAAAACTACTCACTAGTAACGACGTGTGCGCAGGTGCATTTCGCTGACACACGTGTCATACCCAAAACATCCGTTAAAATTGATTGGCATGAGCCAAACGATATGTTAAGATCATCAACTATTTCTCTAATCGTGATTCGACGATTTTTCAACACAATTTCTTTCACTTCCTGAACATTTTCGTCGGTTTTTGACGTGCTGGGGCGTCCAGAGCGAGGTTCATCGTTAACATTTTCTCGGCCCTCTTGGAATAACTTATACCATTTATAAACATTTTTTTTGCTCAAAGTTGACTCACCGTACGCCACTGTCAACATTTCAAGAGTTTTTGAACACTTAATACCATTTTTTACACAAAAATTAATACAAACTCTCTGCTCCATTATTTTCAAAAGCAAAAAATCGCCGAGCACGCAAACACGAGTCTAACCTTTATGCCTCTCACATAAAAACAAAACATGCTATATAGTCAAAACTGTGAACATATGATCGTGACGAGTGTACCAACACAACAAAAAAAAATTTTTTAAATTAGAGTGTACAGAGCGCGCGAAATTCAAAAAGTCACCTTACTTTTTGATCACACCTCGTATAAATGAACCGTTCAAAAGGTTTGTTTCAGCACGTGGCATAGAACATCAGACGTCTGCTCCCTATAATCCGGAACAGAACGGTAAATCGGAAAGAGATATTCAGACAATCAACGAAATGATTAGATCAATGATCCACGGTCGGAACCTTCCTAAATATTTATGGTCTGAAGCTATCAACATGGCAGCCTATATTCTAAATAGCTCTGTAACAAGCAAGAGTAATAAATCACCATTTGAAAGATGGACTGGTAAGAAGTCTGATCTATCGGAACTTAAAATATTTGGTTGCGTCGCTTACGCACACATATCTAATCAGCAAAGACGGAAATTTGATCCCAAGGTGCACAAAATGATCTTTGTAGGCTATCAAGGAAACTCTAATAACAGTAGGTTGTTCGATCCAAGAACACGCAAGATCATTATCGCTGCCAGCGTAAAATTTGATGAAGAGGCAGTGTATCGCATTTCTCCAGAAACAGTGGGAGCTGAAGAAGAAACATGCTCGTTTGTTCGTCTTGAAGATGACTGCACGGAAATTGCATCGGAAAAGGAAGCTACTAAAAGGATCAGCGCCAACAGTAACGAAGAAGAAGCATCTGAAGAGGAAACAGAAATCAGTAGTGGCAATGAACAGAAAAAAGGATTACGTGACCGCGAGAAAATCAGGAAACCTGAAAGGCTTGGCTATCCACAAGCAAACATAGCTGAAGCCGAACCAATTACATTCGAAGAGGCGTCGCACAGTGCAGAGGCCAAACAATGGAAGGAAGCAATGCAACAGGAGCTTCTCGCACACAAGTCGAATAAAACATGGTTCAATTCACCAAAGCCAGAAGATAAAAGGATCATAACCTGCAAGTGGATATTCCGGAAGAAGGTGACACCAGATCGATACAAAGCTCGGCTAGTGGCCCGAGGTTTTTCACAAAAACATGACATCGACTACACAGACACATATGCGCCAGTAGTGCGTTATGAAAGTATTCGCATGCTATTGATAATGGCAGCTGCAGAGAATCTAAACATGTTGCAGTTTGATGTTAAAACTGCCTTCCTCTATGTAACCTTAAAGAAGACATCTGGATCCAATTACCGGAAGGACTTTGGCCAGAAGAGGAGCGTGTCGTTAAACTTAATAAATCATTATATGGCTTGAAGCAGTCTCCACATTGTTGGAATGAAAAGTTCAACGAAGTCATAGAAAGTTTTAACATGCATAGGTCCGAAGATGATGATTGTATATACGTCGGTAAAGTCGGAACGGAAAAACTATACTTGGCTCTGTATGTGGACGATGGTCTTCTTCTTTGTAAATCGTCAGAGATTATACAGAAGTTTGTGAAGCAGCTGAGAGAAGAATTCGAGATCAAGGTATGCAAGCCCAGATATTTCGTAGGCATCGAAATTGAATGGGATAAAAATGATAAATTAATCAAAATCCATCAAGCTTCCTATGTTCAAAAACTTGTGGAAAAATTCAAGATGGAGCATGCAAAAGATATTTCCATTCCAGCAGATCCCAATGTGAAATTATCAAGACAGATGAATCCATCAAGTGATGCAGAAAGGATGTCAATGTCAAGAGTTCCCTACAGGGAACTAATTGGATCACTACAGTTTCTAGCAAACGTCACTAGACCCGACATTGCATTCAGCGTTAACATGCTAAGCCGATATCTATCTGATCCCGGAGTGGAACACTGGAACGCCGCAAAGAGGGTATTAACCGGTTAAGTGGTATTGTAGCATATATGCACATCTTGAATAACTTCTATATTATTCAAGGAATTTGCTTGAAATTTGGTATACTATTGTTTTTTGGGCTTCTGAACTCGATTTTGGCGTCAAATTTGTAAAATTTGATGGCGATTTTTGAACTTGGACATGTTTTACATTTATTTGTAAATATCGCGCTGGAACGAATCAGTCCGGCTCTTTATATACGAAATGAAATCAGCGACCCAAAAAACCCCCAGGGCCAAATTTTGGTATATTTTAGTTCACAATTGACGCCTACCACTTTTGGCACGGAATGTTTTAAAAAGCCTACCACTTAACCGGTTAAGATACTTGAAGAAAACAAGTACTAACGGAATCTCACTAAACAATGTTATATCAAAATAAAATTGCATCTGTTACTCAGACTTTGCAGGAGATGAAGATGAACGTTGGTCTACCTCTGGATACATTGCGGTCATGAACGGTACACCAATAGCTTGGGCATCACGTAGACAAAAGATTGTGACCCTGTCAACGGCGGAAACAGAACTAGTGGCCGCATCACAGGCCGCACAAGAAGTCGAATGGCTAAGACAAATGTTAGCAACTATCTACGAAGTTCAAGAAGAAACGATTGGTCCCATTCAACTGAACTTGGATAATCAAGCTGCCATTCAATTGAGTGCTAATCATGCTTTTCATCAAAGAACAAAGCATGTGGACATAAAGTACCAATACATACGAAAAGTGATTGAGTCGGAGAAAATATTTGTCAAATATTGTCCAACAGAAGATCAATTGGCATACTGACTAAGGCTTTACCAAGGACCCGATTTAATAAACTGAAGGAGCAACTGATGATGCACACGAGGCCTCAGTGGGAGTGTCAAGAACGGAGACCTCATGTGCATTCGCCTTTAGGTGGCGCTCAAACTAGCACCAATACGCTCATCTAATATATTTTTGTTGTTCATGTTCTCTTTTACTCTCTTAACGAACACTCAACTTGTGTATACGTCATTCTTATAAAATAGACGTTCTTTTTCTTTACCAAGTAGAAAACATTCCCTTATCCAACCAAACAACACAGATAAAAAGTGATTTATTATTATATATAAAAGTACACCAACGAACAACTTTAAAAATAGCAAAGTTGAAAGATAGAAAATAATTCAAGCACTATATAATATATACATATATATATTGTATACAAGGTGATTCAGAAAGACCCCGTGTCCTTGCACAGACGTATTCCTGGCTGAATTCTAAGATGATATTTCCTTTACGAAAATTTTATCCGACGCTTACTTTTTAAGCTATTAAAGGATAAAGTTAGCGAGTCACAGGTCGTGTATAGAAGATAAGCAGGGGCGGCGCCGAGCGCACTCACCGTCTGACGCGAGCAACCACAAAGGGCACTCGTTGTAATCAGCTGTCTAAGGACAGAGTTATTCTATCTTACATAATAAACGCGCGCGCGCGCGCGCGCGCACACACACACTCTCTCTCTCTCTCTCTCTCTCTCTCTCTCTACGCTGTCTTCATACCGTCGTTACTTGAAGGATAAATTTCGTCCGAGTTGAAATTTTGCTTCTACTTTGAATCATAGCTTTAGGACG